CGGCCCGCGCGCTCTGTTGACCCGGTCGATCGGCGGACGGGACGGGCCAGGCCGCGCCGCGGGACGGCCACCGCGGCCAGGCCGGCCGATGCGAGCGAGACACCTGTCCGGGGCGGACGCGACCCCCCCTCCCCCTCCCCCTCTCCGCGTCGCGGCACGGGCATTCCTAAGTAGCCCCGGCCCAGCGGGACAGTGACGGTACGGCGTGGCTATCGGCGTCGCGGCGCATCGACGTGTGCGACAAACAGCAGGGCGTGCTGAGGTCCTCGAGCGTCACGACGGCGCGCTGCACGCCGCCGCCTCCCGAGACGTATAAATGCGAGTTGCCGGACAAATTCCCTCTTCCCTCTTTCCACGACTTCTGCTGCCGTGGGGGCAACATAAAGGGGAGATGAGGTGACAGCAGCAGCAGCAGCAGCAGCAGCAGCAGCAGCAGCAGCGGCGGCGGCGGCGGTCGCTGGCGGCTCTGCAGGGCGAGGGAAGAGGGGGAGGGGGTCGAAAATAAAAAGATGCTGCCTTACCTTGCAGGTTGCAGGAGCTTGTGCAGCGGAGACTGCGCGCAAAGTGATCTGGGTCGTCGCCATCGTTTGGCCGCATCACACTGTTCTGTCCACTCAACCTACAAAAAAAAGGGGGTCTATTATTGAATGAAAGCAAATTGCACTGCCCTGACGCAAATGTTCGTGCAAAATCAAGGGTCACAAGAACACGCTTTATAGGTTGTAGGTAACACTTGACAACAACTTCATTCGTGGTCCCATTACCCAATGAAAGATTTTAACACCAACCCAAAAGCAGCATTCCCAATCATTTCTTTGCAAATGTTGGGATGTATGGAGTTTTGATCTATTGATTTCAATTCATATTCAGTGTTACAGATTTTTTAATCTTGCTGATTCGATATGTTAAATCATTTAGTGTTAAAATGAAACATATCCATCCATTCAAAAGAGGATTTTACTATAATAACAGACTAAAGAATGGAAAAGATGTGTATTACAGCAATAATCATATTATTCGTTCATTCATTCATTCATTCATTCATTGTAACCAACTTCAATTTACTCAACGTACAGGACTTACCTCAACCATATTCTGATGTTGTACCCTGGTAGGTTTTACAGAAAGAAAATATTTTGCCTCCGCTCTCCTCCGCTCTAACACTGGGTCTGTCAAAGAATTAGCTAGCTAATCAAATATGACGTTTCTGAAGGTTAATAAGTTAGGTCTAATCTATTACAATGGATCCAAAACTATTTGCACGAAGACCTTTCAAAAGATGAAAATCTACCAACTCATAACGCCTCGCGGTGCGTACTAAATAATCGCCATCGTGTTTAGAGATACGACTCAAGTGGCAATCGGTAGGAATGTGTTTGGCTCCCAACTTCAGACTCACCTAACCTCTAACAGTCATGTCTTGATGTCGCTGCATCCACGCTAACATCGACGGGTAGTTTTCTAGTTTTAAAATAGTTTTTCCTAATAAAACTATATCAAATGTTACTCTACAGATGCAATGTAACCGAGGGGTGCCCAACTCTAAAAAATCGTGTACACCTGATTACCAAAAAGTGACGATTACCAAGGATTACCAAAGATTACCGAAGATTACCTATGATTACCAAGGGTTTCCGAAGATTACCACTGACAAAAGATTACCAGAGATTACCAAAGATTGCCATTGATTACCACAGATTACCAGTGATTCCGAAAGATTACCAGTGATTCTCAAAGATTACCAGTGATTCTCAAAGATTACCAGTGATTACCAAAGATTACCAGTGATTACCAAAGATTTCCAGGAATTTCCTGGCTGGATTACTTAGTGATTACCAAAGATTACCCGATGATTACCAACGATTACCTGGTGATTACCAACGATTACCTAGTGATTACCAGGGATTACCGGCGATTACTAGGGATTACCGGTGATTACCAAGGATTACCGGCGATTACTAGGGATTACCGGTGATTACCAAGGATTACCGGCGATTACCAAGGATTACCGGCGATTACCGATTACCTACTCTGTGTACACCTGATTACCTTAGTTGGGCACCCCTCGAATGTAACGTTAGATTAGCGGTAAAGGGAGATTTAAAATTCCCAAAACGCGACGGGATGCTGTGGTCCTTGGCGGCCATTTTTGGAACTTCTTCTTGTTCTTCAGTTCTCCTTCTCCTTCTCCTCCTAACCGACAGGGAATGCCAAATGGCGCTTGACAAGAGAGCTATGACTACTTTAATACTTTAGAATGACAACGTTTTTCAATATTTTACTGTACTGAATTTGAACTCGTTGTGAGAAATTGTTTTCGTTAATCGTTATCATAGATTATGAGACTTTTCGAGTCCCGAATGCAGTTTTTTTTTGTTAGAAGGTTGGTAGCTCCCTCCTGAAATGACGGGACTGTGGGCCTGCAAATCGCTCGTCGCTCGAAACAAAACCTGATGGTCGAGACGGTTTGGATCAGACAAGTTCACTTTCAGTTCAGTTTTCGTTCTGACGGTCTCGCCCAAAAAGTACTAATGCTGCAATCTGATGTCCCAAAAATAGATGCTATTATCGTATGTACACCGTCCGAGTGACCATGGATCCATTGTCACTCCTTGTAATTTTAAGGACCCGGATGAGTGTCATTTTGTTTGCAAGCGATACGCGAGGTCACGCCGCCGTCCCCGCGGGCCCTTCGGGGGTCCTCTCCTTTCTGCGCCCCGCCTGTCTTCGGGTCAGGCTGCGCAGGACGTCCAGTCCAGTCGGAGGGAGGGGAGAGGAATGCCTGGCAGGGAAACAGTCGCGGCTATTTGAATAGAATGGACTGGATGCTGCGGTCGCCTCCCTGCGCCTCCGTGCCCCCCTCCTCCCCGCCTCTCCCCCTGCTCCCGTTCTAACTGGATGCGGGGACGCCGCCGAAGCCCCGCACGGGCCCGACCCCTCTCCCTCCACCCCACCCCGCCACGCCCAACCCCTCCGCACTTCGTCACGTGAATCAATCAGAAAGCTGTTTGCGATCTGGGAGAGATAGACGGAAATGGATACAAATTTGTGGCCACTCCAAAAAGGATTCCAGAAGCTCGGCTCTCGCAATAAACTCTTTCAGACACTCCTCTTTCTCTCTCCTCTTCCCTGCTCTGCCTGTTTATCTTTCTCCCTCTCCCCATGTGCCTCCACGATCGCCCGATCCGTTTGTCTCCGCGAGATCAACAAAAGCGCCCTCCGTCTTGGCCGGGGAGGTCCTCCGAGGGAAGGAGCAGGGCGCGGAGCGGGGCGGAGCGGGAGGCTGGCCGTCGGCGATCCTCGCGGCCAATCTTCCTCCATCAGGGGGGACGCGCGCGCGGGGCCGGCGGGGCCGACACAGCGCCCCTCCCACGCCACGCCGCGCCACGCCGCGTTGGAACAACCGGGCGTTAATTACAGCAGCGGCGACACTCCCCACCACCTCCACCACCACCTCCACCCGGGCAGGCCGAGGCATGCGGTGCTGTCGTCGCCTCGCCCCGCGTCGTCGCTTCGGAGAGCGATTTGAATACCTAATTAGCTGAAAATGAAGCACGGCGCTGAACATTGTTGCCCGGTGACTTGTTACGGCGCTCTGTGGCCTGGCTGGCCCCGGCCGCGGGCGCAGGGGCGCGCGCTGCACGTGAGGGGGTGCAGGGGGGGGGGGCAATTCTGGGACGCGTTTACGACAAGCATAAACTAGGGGGTACGCTCCGATGAGATGTCGCGTGACTGCGCCGGGGCTCCGCGCCGTGCGGCTCGGGTGTCCGTTATATCATTTCAGTTCCAGTATTGAGGTGAGCCCAAAGCGCGCACGGGCGGCTTCGTAATTACGAGAGGAGGGAGGACGACGCGAACCTCGTATCAAAGCACTCTGTATATCGGGTCGGGCCGGGCCGTCCCCGCGGAGCAGTGCGTGGTGCGCCGGGTACTACACGGTAGATCAAGCAGAAGGAGGAGTGGGAGGGGTCGCCTGACCTCACGGATTAGCGAGTGCACTCACAACGGCAATTATTAGGGAAACTAATTTTATACGTGTTCCCCGTGTGAGGCCGCGCGGGGCGCGGGGCGCGCGGGGGGCGGCCGGAGCCCGGGCGGGCGGGCCTGGCAGGTTGTCCCGTACCGTTTCGCGCCGGTATGGCGCTGCGGGGTGGATGACCCACAGGCCTAGGACCGGGGCATCTGCCGGACACGCGCGTTCAGCGGGGCAGGTTCCGATCCCCGCTGCGCGAATAGCATTTTGACATTTTCGACTGCAGGTTGAGTTGTTGCACCTCGAATTTTGTGTACCTACTCGTTCCTCTTCCGCTCTTCCCTGTTTCCACCGTAAAACAACCTTTACTCTGGGAGTCACTCTAGCTCGGCTGATGATATTGATATCATTCTGCTAATGGAGTGTAGTAATGGTGTGGTGTAACTAATATTTCCTCGTGAAGAAATGTCGTGCATTAAAGTTCCCGGAGACTTTGCCACTTTCCAATCCTTCCGGCAAACACGATTCGAAACACTCGGCCTGCCTCCCTGGAAGCCCGCGGCGGCCCGGGGGCCCCGGCGACACATTCAGCGAATGGAATTCTTTCTCTGGCGGAGCGAGTCCTGTGTACTTTGTGGAGCGGGCCCGGCGGGGCTGGCACAGAGGCTGGCGGGGCGCAGGCCAACAGGGCCATATTTCACCCGCGGCGAGGGCTTTTCCTCACCCTTTGAGCAAGCTCGGGGTAATTATTAATGGAGGCTTACATCGGGTAATGAGACACAAATGGGATGATGTATGGAAGGCTACGCCATGGGGTTACTCCTGCGTATCGTGTTCCTGAATTATAGCTCGGCCCAAGCCCGCGACTGCCAGGCAAAACAGCAAAGTGTGCCATTTATTTCACCACATGTGCCAACGCCATCAAAAGCGTGCACTATGCACTTTTGTACCTCCTCTCCGCCTCTCTCTCTGCTGAGGCGTGCTGCTAGTCGGGAGTTTGATATGGTCGGAATAGAAAAGTCAGGAGTAGTTTTGTACTCATTGGTATCTTTTACTCATGCTCAAACACAACAAATGTACAAAAATAGAGTGTCACATTCAATAAAACACAAATCATTTAATATGTACAATATTGAGAGAATTGTATAAATGTATGTACAAATATCTCACTATGACACATTTTAATATCAAAATCATTCAAGATATTTTACTAATTTACTTTATGTATTATATAGAATTATAATATTTATGACTTCGTTGGGCTAGACACTGTTCCTTCAAAAATAATGATTATAACATTTTAACTTCTTCGCTCTAATCAAATTTTTGAAGCACAGCAATAAAACTCTGCAAATAAATAATACAATAGAACGATACAACACGCCCACCTACAATTAACTACTCTCAATCACTTTGCTTACAATTGGTATAGTACTACCACAACTGCCTTACAGGAAGAGATTTGTTTAAGGTATCACGATGAAAAATTATCCTAGCAATAAAATTAAATAACAAAGAAAGTACATCTTTATGTGAAAGTTTAAAACCCCACACATACTTTTTACTTTGTCATCACGTAAGAAAAAAAAGAACCTCAACTTAACAAAAACCTCAATTATTTCTAATAAAAAAAAACAAAGAAAACAAAAAGAGAGGTCCTAGTTACAACATAAACGGCGGGGAAATCACCCTGACTGAGGAACTTCAGAGCCGCGTTTGCTCGTGAGGTCAAGCACACACTCCTTGGAGTCTTTGGTGTCGTCCTGGGCCAGCCCCTCGGGCAGTTTGGTGACCGCGGCTGGTGAGTGCGGCGGCGAGGGCGAGGTTCTCGCCGACATGGACGTGCCCTTGACGGACAGGTCCATGGGTTGGTCCTGGTCCTCGGCCAGGCCGCCCAGCGCGGGGCTGGCCAGCGCCAGGTCGCCGCCGGCGCGTGGCGGGCAGCTGGGGTCCAGGAACATGAGGGTGGGGGCGAGTCCGGGGCGCGCCACGCCGGGCACGCCGGGCAGCGGCAGCGGGGGGAACAGCACGCGGGGTGACGCCACCTGGCCGGGCAGCGGCGGCGTGGTGAAGGAGGCGGGGCCGAGGGGCGACGGCGGCGACCGCACCTCCAGCTTCATGCGCGCCCCCAGCAGCTCGGGCTCGCTGAAGGGCGACGGCGTCTGGTGCGAGGAGGGCGGCCGGAGGAAGGTGTTGGGCGAGCGGCTCGAGTCGTTGTCGTTCTCGCCCGACGAGCTGTACTCGGAGTGCGAGCTGGCCGACCGCTCCGACTTGGCGGCCCTCTCGGACAGCTCCTGGAGGCGCTCGGCGCGCTCGGCGCGGGCCACCTCCTCCTTGACGTCGGCGTGCATCAGGCCCGGGTAGTCGGCCAGGCCGGGCGGGTGGTGGGCGGCGGCGCCGAGGAACGGGCTGTGCAGGAAGGCGCCCGGGTAGAAGGCCGTGGTGGGGCTGGGGCTGGAGCCCTGCGTCTGGCTCTGCTGCTGCTGCAGCAGGCAGTGGATCTTGAACCAGTTGGAGCGGCGGCCGTAGCGCGACCCGCTCTTGGACATGCCCACCAGCAGGCACTTGCGCAGGCGGCACGCCTTGCACGACGTGCGGTTCTTCTTGTTGATGACGCACGCGCCCTGGTTCTTGCACTCGGTGATGGAGCCCAGGTTGTTGTACGTCCGCCCGAAAAACGACTGCAACAAAAAGAAGAGAAACATTGCGGTTAGAAACTTGAACTTCTAAAGGGAAAACACGTCACAGCACCGTCGTCGTCTCCCCGCGCGCTCGTGGCTAATCAACCCCGATAACACCTCGCCGATAGGCGGCGCATCTTTTCGCGGGTACCGGGGCACGGCGCGGCGGGAGGATGCACCTCCGCGCCGACCCGACTTTCTCCTCCTTTAACAGGGTACTAGTAGTAAATCCACAGGGCTGGAATCCCCGCGGCGCAGCCAGGCGCGGCAAAGGCGTAAGGCCGTATGGGGCCAGGCACCGGGCAGGCACCGACCAGGCCAGGGGTCCCGGGCCGTGTCGGGACCAGCGCCGGCCGGCCGGGTCAAGAGCAAGACGTATGGCACAGTCCCGTAAAAGTCTCACCGAAAATGAGCGATAGCCGCCTCACCTCATTCTCGTGCTTTTAATTGAAACCATTAAAAGGCTTGGTCAGATTTATACGAGGGATCAGGTCTCCGCAGGCTCGGCCACAGCCCGACCAAATCGCTCATTTTCCACGTTATTAGTCGAGTTTCCCCAGATCATTTTTCTTCCAGGAGATCATCTCCGGGGCCAGCTGCAGCGCCGTGGCCCGCTACTCCCGCCGGTCGGTCGCACGAGGGGGGACCCTCGGGGATTCGAAACTTGAAAAATAAAGGAGGGGAAATGTTGCAACGACCAGCAGGAGGCCGGCGCGACGCGGCCCTCAAGGGCGGCACGGCGACCGGAGCCCCTGCCGGGTGGGGGATAGGCAACCGGCTGGGCACGGCTGCAGAACGGCTGCCCACCCAGCGCCGCGCGGCCCGCAGGCGGCGAGCAGCAGCAGCAGCGGACCCGGCGCGCCGCTGCACTGCGCTGACCTCTCGAGCCACACTCTATCGTAAGTCAGCCTGAATTGGCGGAGTCACTGCAGGGAGGCATTTCCTGCTAAAAGTCTGATTTACACGGCAAGTACCGATGCAAGCTCGAGAGAGTTGAAGCGCAACTACAGAGTATAAACACCCACCCCGACCGACACTGCAAGAAATAAAACGAAACGAAACAACCGTCGAGAGACAGACATACGACACGCTCCAGCTGAACTTGTTTTTGCACCGCGCGGAATCGCGCCGCCACCCCCCGGCGCGCTTGTACACACGGCAAAACAAACCGTCCAGATTAATTCAATAAATGAGAATGACATTTGCCGTGCAGTTGAACTGAGAGGGAGAGGGCAAGAGGGGCGCCGGCTGGGAAGAGGAGGTGTGTGGGGGTGGGGGGAGGGGAGGAGGGGGCCCCTGCCCTCGCGTGCCGCGGCGCCGTATCTCCGGGACATCCATATCAGCAGATGTGAAATGGATACTCGGGAGACACCATGTTGCAGCGCTGCAGCGCGATGCGCTAGCAGCTAGCGCACCGGTGTGGTGCCGTACACCTCTGGTATTTGAGGAGGTCTGCGCCCGCCCCACCACGCCCCGCTTCTCCCCGCCCCGCCCGCCAGTCCGGCAGGCCGGCCCCTGCATAAACGTTAATGGGGACTACGTGTGTGGTATATCGCGCTGGGACCA